CTTTCCCTATACATACATATATGTATGTATATCTATAGTCCAATTATATGGGGACGGACAATGGTGTAAACTATGGTAACCTAGTAAAACCACAGTTCAAAAGTGGAAGAAGCCAAACACTTTCATATTTATCAAGATTACCATTCGATTTGTTATATAAAGACATGGAAAAAATAAAATAAAAGTATAGTTATCGACAATCGGACAAAGGCAGAGGGGCAAGTGGGTCATCAACCTCACTGTAAGGGCGTTTTTTAGGCTTTGATATTTTTGGACCGTCTTCAAGATTCTGCAAAAAGAGAGAGAGAAAAAAATAGTGGTTCACAAAATACCATAATAATACCAATATAAAGCAGAAATTTGACAGTACCTTAGATGTACCGTGTACGTGGTTTCCCTTATTTAGCCTCCCATAACCGTTGCCGGTTCAATTCTACCCATCTCACGGTTCACTACACTTTCTTTGGGCCCCATATGGAAGAGGCAACCTCTCTCTAATGATACTTTGAACCCTCCCACTTCATCATTCTCTTCCCATGAAAATTTTATATATTTTGGAAATTTTAGGTTTGTGTATTATAAAATTGCAAAAAGCTTGTCTATACTAATACTGGACCAGAACCTTAATTTAAACGCGACGATGCGTTAATAACAATCAATGTCAGCATTTTATCCGACAAAATAGTTAAATATCGGATTACAACTCGGTCAAAATAGCAAAACAAAAAAGGAAAACAGTTGCCACGTGGGCCAAGTGGGTCCAACATGGGCTGGCTGGAGGCGGACAAATGGAGGGCCCGACCACATCCTAACCACGTGCACCACCGTCCCACGGGCTTCCCCCTCTGCGGTCCACCCGTCTACTTGGATCTCTGTACATCTTTTTAATTCGTGGAAACAATTCATAAACACACAATTTCCTCTATGTACGTTTTTGCTACTATATATGATCTCTTTGATGTACGATGCATGAACCGATTCAAATAAGATGAACTTGTTAGTTTCATCGTGCGTTGTTTTTTTCCCTTTAAAGGGCAATATTAAATGAAAAGCAGAGGGCCAAACGACTAAATTAATGCTCCGGCCGCGTAATGGATAATCCCCTGTTTCATTTGACATAAAAGCGCGTCTTAAATGCTGCCTCACTGATTCATGCACCTAATGGTGTTTCATCTTCATAAGTCACTACCAAAACAGATGTATTTTATTTGTATTAGACCTTATATTATGTTAATATCTCAAAAATTATTACAAGTAAAAAAAACAAATCACAAGACAAATATCAGTGGATGTGGATGTGTGTATTATATTATATGCTTTCAGGTAACTAAGAAGAGAGAGAGCTTAAAATACGGAATCGAAACAATAGTCAAAGGGAACGTCGTATCCTAAAATCATGGAATAATCGTCCATTTCTTCCTCTCGAGGATTGTTTTGCTTTGGCAATATCCTCCAAGTATTGCCGATATCAGCCTCGTTCCCACACGTCAGCAACTCCAACACCTTTCAACAGCACTTTGCCATTACTAGCTAGTTTATTTAAATGATTGGACCGACCGATGGAAATTAAAGTTAGATCCACGTATACCTGGGTCATGGAGGGTCGGAAGATGGGTGATTGATGAACGCAATGGGAAGCGGTGAGGATGAGCCTTTGAATCTGTTGCTCGTCGTATCTGCCTTTGAGTTTCGGATCAGCCAACTCCCTCGTCTTTCCTGTCTCCATTATCGGCTTCGCCTGTTCGTATCATCCGCTCTCTCATTTCCACCATCTTTATACACCATGCTATGTTGAACAAAAACCACATATATACGTACCCACAAGAGAAGGTGTCTCTGGGAGGAACCGACCGGTTTTCGACCGGTTAATATCTCCAGGAGAAGAATACCGAAGGCGTAGACGTCGGTTTTCTCGTCCACAATGCCGTGCATGAAATACTCAGGCGCTAGATATCCGAACGTCCCCTCCACCGGCATCACCGCGTGGTGTGTCCATTTGTTCGGCAGCCACTTGGCTAATCCAAAGTCCGTTATCTGATTTACATATATATATATATACGTATGGTTATAAATAACACCTCTTATCTTCACGATTCTTATCGCGGAGAAACACTTTGCTTGCGTCCCAAGAAATTATTTTTGTTTTTGCTTTTCTTCACCTGAGGTTCATAGTCAGGTCCAAGGAGAACGTTAGAGGCTTTGATGTCGCGATGAATGATTCGGTGGTTGCAGCGTTTATGGAGATAGTGAAGCCCTCGAGCCACTCCCACTGCGATCTTATACCGAATCGGCCAATCAAGCGATCCCTCATTGTCCTCTGCCGATTTTTCACAGTCCAAAACCAAAACAATTTCATACATTTGCCCATCAGAAATACCTATTTTCGCTCTACAGAATATCGAACGGGTATTTACCGTGCAAGGCTGAGTACAAGTTGCCGTTCTCTGAGAGGCTGAAGATGAGATAGAGACCTCTCTCGATGCAGCAGCCTAAGAGGTTGGCCGTGTTGGGATGAGAGACGTGGCTTATTATGCCGAGTTCTGTAAGAAACTCTTTCTCCTTGTTCATGTCACTGTTGTCTTTCGCCAATCTCTTCACTGCGATTCTTTTTCCATCTGAGAGATCTCCTCTGTACACTTCAGAGTACCCTCCAACGCCTACTATGTTGTCTGAAACTCAGATCAACTGCTCGTTAGAAACAGACAAAAATATCCAAACAAATCACAGGGTTTGGGATCTGACCTTCATGAAATTCATTCGTGGCTTTGGAGATCTCGGCATAGCTGAAGCAGCGCATCAAAGGCTGGGGTTTAGGGTTCTTCTTAGAGTAGTTTCCTCTCCATCTTCTCATAGGAGAATTCGATATTAAAGAAGATATGAGTCTGTACGGAGACAATGGCTTAGGTTTAGGCTTATCCACTGAAGAAAGGAAGTTAGTGGAGGATGTAGAACCGGTGAAACTGGAAGCGTCGTCGCTCGAGCTATTGACCGAGTCTCTCTCGAGGGCACTCCACACGCTCCTTGGAGAAGAACTTTCCCTCTTTATCTCTGTCCAAACAACGCCATCAGACAATGAGATCCTTGTTTTTTGTATAGATTTTGGATTAACTCAAACTTCTCGAGTGCCATCTAACCTTTAGGAATGGTAGAAGTACAGTCGGAGAAGGAATCTTTCTGACGTTTCTTCTGTCTTCCCACTAAGATAACAGCGCAATCTGGCGGTGCAAACTCTGTCGCATACTTGGTGATTCCAAGTGATTTCCTATACCAAGATATTACAAAAAAATTTATGGACTATAATAAGACCGTTCTCTATGATCAAGTACATTTCCAACCAGAAGGAAATTCTGAGACAGATACAAGTATGTGTGATTCTTACAAAAATCAATGGGGATTAACTTGAAGAGGAAGCAACTCCTTACCTGAAATCATGGTTGGTGGGGCGGGAGAGAAGAAGATAGTGTGCGGAAATGGACTTGGCTTCGTCGACAAGGCCTCTTCCGACACTTGAGCTAAATCCTACTTTCGCTTCCAGATTCACCTGAAGAGCCGCGCGTTAAGGATTAACGCTCTGTTAAAACAAAAATATAGAATCTACAGTGAGTACCTGTTTGGAGTGGCAGCTGCGGGTGAACTCTGCAAGCACCGATATAACATGGGCTTTTGCAAGGCGAATCTGAGCTCTCTTCTTCTTCTTCAGTGGAAAATTTCTCGGTTCTTCACCCACTGCATGCATTCATTCTCCAATTCGTTATAGATATGTTTTTGTCACGAGAATTCAGATTGTAACCGTGATATATACAGTTGTGAGAAAGTATGCTAACCGAGAACGTGAAACGCTACAATGGTGTCGCTTGGCTTAGCTATAGAATTGATGGCCCAAGACAACAAGTTTTTGCTCTCTTCTCGGGCTAAAGGGACTGCCACGAGGATCTTGCTCGAAGATATCATCGTTGTTCTTGTTGGTTGTGTACCTTACAGGAATGTCTGTGCAAAATGGAATAGATATCGATGATATATATTCTTGATTAAAAAGAAAACGTCAGCAAGAGACAAATGATTTGCAAACAGAAGAGAAGTGTTTTGAGGTTTCTCTGTTGGAAACTATGATTGGGGGAATAAGAAGGAGAAGAAAGAGCTTCAAGATTAATAGAGGGGATATTGCATGGGATATATATAATAAGGAAATACCAGAATAGAAATGACCCTTGAGGGAGAAGCATTAAAGCTCCAATGATATGGCAAAGGATAGAGACGAGACAATGATGAAAAGTGTTGGGTTGTGTGCTTTGTTGTCCAAGCAAAGTGTGTTTTTTGTGAAAGGCCTCAAGTGTTCTCCATTTTGTCTTCCTCCCAAAGCCTGCACACTGCTTTATCCCAAAAAAAAAAAATTATTGTTTTCAAGGGGGGGTTGGTAGAGGGAAGTGTGAGCCATATGGGTCTCAATCTAAAATAGGGAAGAGAGAGATTAAACTTTATCGATAACAAAGCTTTGAAAAGACACCAAGTACATTTGTAATTTACCAAATAAATAAATAAATCCATGTGTATATAGATGACAAAACAATGAAGAGGGGAACTAACAAACAAGACGTTGAACCATATTATTGCAAAAGTGCAATTATGCCTCCCAAGTGTTTTGCTTTGTTTTTGTTTGTCTTGCACTTCACAGCATGAACCTCCGTATAGTCCATGTTTCATCATATCATTCCACACGTGCATCAAAACTTACTATTTTTTGCTTTTTTTCCCCCAAAATAAAAAAATGAGATTTTGTACGAATAATATTATATAATAAACCCCTCGATGCATAAATATATATGTATCACCCATTCGCAGGTATCGTTTGCAAGTCTTAGACTCTTGATTACAAGAGAGAAGCTTCCTACACATATGTATGACAATGACATGCATACGCATACAGTGGAGCTAAGCTAACAGACTATAAAGGAAAAGCGGAGCAAAACGCACCGTTTCAGTAAAATCTAATTCCGGATCTCATCCGGAGGCCCACTAAATGTAGGAGTGATCATCTGAAAAGGACTAATAGCTGGGTTGAATCCACTGCAATGTGAACTCGTGAAATTGTAAGACACGTGGGCTTTAAGTCCAATCTCAACGTGGGCTTTAAGCTGGTGTTTATAAAAGCCCAATTTGAGGATGACAAGTGTACATCAAAGAAAGTCCATGTCCAAGTACAAGGCTCAGGGCTACTCTCGTCTTTTCCAAGTTTTGTTAATTTTGTGGATAATAAAAGCGATAAGAGCGTACATACAAAATAATAATTTTAAAGGGCAACCTCTCCTCGCCGCATGGGAAACTCGATCAGCCTGTCTTTGGCACGTGCCTCCACACGTGCCGTTGTAGCCCCCCCACGCATTCCATTTTTCACCTGAGAAGCCTCTCTCCCGTAACTGCCCTTCCTCACCATCATCAATTCAACCACCCCCACATAAATTTTTTTAAAAAAAAAAACATAGGAATTTGATAGATTTGTTGGGTCGTCTTCTCCGGCGATATAATCAAAATGGGTCTTCCGGTCAAATCTCGGAAATTTACATTTGCCGGACTTTCCGTCGTGGCCCTAACACTGTCGAAATTGGAAACTTGCAAAAGAAAAAAAAAAAAAGAGAGGCTTTTTCTTCTACACAATCTAAGATTGACGTCTAATTAAATCAAACCCTTCTGATAACAATCCAATTAGACGAAACCCACTTGAAAATATTCCCGTCGCCGTGACGTCCAGATAAGATTCTCGTGATGTTACCGATCGGGTCATGACGACCCGACCCGGAATGGACCGGGGCAGACAGTATGTAAACTGTTCACAAAGATATTTGAACCCGTGACGATGATGATGCTCTGTTTTTTTAGTCTGATCCTTAAAGCAACTCTGCCTGTTTTCAGTGTCTTTGGACAGAGGTGGGCTCACCGTTGCCTCCGGTGCTCAGCCGCCGCACCTGATCACTACCCTCCCCCTCCTTCTCTTCTTCTTCATCTTCGTCGTCGTCTTCGTCGCAAGTACAACTCTTTTCCGTCTCCATGAACGAAGAAGACCTACTCGTGCTGTTACTGTTGCTCGTCGGAGTCGCCAGATACGTGGGTTTCACGTCACCGGCCATTATCACCAGAAACTTTTCCGGCATCTCCGCCGGAGTTTTCTTCGCCTCGGCGTCGTTTCCGGCCTCGAGGTCCCTCTCTCCGGTGGAATTTTCGCCGGAACCGCCGTCAAGGTAACCGGAGAGTCTCCAGTAGGAGCAAGCGAGGATGAGGAGAGCAAAGGCGATGAGACCGAGCATCGCCGCCAAGCCGCCGAATAAGTACGGGACCGGAGAATGCCACGGCGAGTGCGCCGACGCCAAGGCTGTCCTGTTGGCATGTGGGTTCATGTTTGGGTTGTATTCTCTCCCTTCCATTTCCCGATGTTCTTAATTTCTTTCTTCGTCGTCTTCTTCGGTTGGTTTAGATCCTCTCGAGAAGGAGAAAGCCGATGCGAGAGAAAAGATGTGTTAATTTTTTTTTTTGTGGGTTACAGATTTGTTTAGTCTTTGTGTGGGGGAAGGGTTACGGGAGGGTATTTATAGAGGAGAGCTAGAGAATTTAATTGGGTGGATTATGCATGACGTATAATAAGATTATAATACATCGATATCGTTTCCCATGATCGGCATGTCAAATCATGTATCAGTTCCTGTTCATCTCATTTAGATGCCCATATATGTATGTATATATATATATATATACAATGTAGGGCAAATCTCTTATTCACCCTCTTAAATCATTGAGGATGAAACCTTCCATATTATGGCCAAAAAGATATTGGGTTCATTTATTGTATATGGATGCACACTGTAAGGTACAATCATATTCAATAGAAGGGGAAAAACGACTAAAATATCGAATAAACTATTTCAACACAATGCTTATATATGGATTTCCTCTTTATTGGACCAGGAAGGAACAATATGTAACTATCTTGGAAGATGCAAAATAACTCAATATTTCCAACGTTACATCCTCATTAAAATTCGTCAGAGTGTCCAAATTTTGGTTATAAATTTATAGTAATTATAATGAGCATCACGTCAAGGGGAGAACATGCAATGAATAAAGCAGCGAGTGAGTGATAAACGATAATTTTCCTGTTTAGTAATTACGATCAAGTTTATGGATTATATGAATAAATTGGGTTTTTTTTCTCATTTTGGGTGATGATTGTGTTTGTTTAGGTGATTAGCTGGGGCCCAACTAAGGTGCGTCTCTGCCATCAACTGGTTGTCTTTTAAAACTAAAAGCAGATTGGTCGATCTCTACTATCTTTAATTCGATCATCTTTAATTTGTGGTAAAAAAAAATGGTGGAATATAAGAATATACATACATATATATATATATATGCCACTCCATTTCGAACCCTAATTCACTGTTTTAGATAACACATAACCAATCATTCACATGGCGTCAAATCCTTTTTGATATAGGATCTAAAATATTTTACAGTCGTAATAAATTATCCTATGTTGCTACCAATGATCAAGATGGCGTTTTAAGACTGTATTCTTTCGGATAATGACAGAGAAAGCGAAGCTAAACATATGATATTTTACAGCAAATCATTTGTATGAAATCATGCAAATTTGTGATTTGTAGCTTGCAAAAGTTATATGTCTCTTGAGGTTATAATATAAACATATGAATCCAAATACTACGTAGAGTCAAATTAATCTGTATGCATACGTACATACAAAGGGAGATGTAATAAAAGAGAGGGGTTTGGGATAACGACGGGAAATGGGGATTCCGTTAGAGCCGCTATGAGCTTTCAATTGAATTTGCCACGCAAAGCAAACGTGACAAAGCCAGGAGGGAGAGAGAAAACGTGACGGATAGCGGCAGACGTTACAACAGTTAACAGAACAGTAAAGAGAACGTTACCTAAAACAACTAAAAACATGAATGAATGTTCCTTTTTCTGGCTCACTGCCCTAAATACGTTTCTTATGCATTTTACATATAAACCTGCTTCTTTTCATACAGTTAAATTACATTTCTAAATCTCCCTGACAGCTATGTTTTCCATAGCGTCTATCGTTCTACGTTTTATATATCTAAAAAATTTTAAACGTTTTTATATAATTTCTCATCTATAATTACTACTGATAATTTCTCTCTTATACTCTTATTTTGAATTTTATATATATATATAAAGATTTTCTTGTACTTTTAAAAAATGTATTATGAAAGTAATCAGAGTTCATCAATTCATGCTTTTCAAGTAATTCTCCGTTTCAATTAAATATAAATAGCAAAGTGGTAGGTTGGTGGACTGTTAAAATAATCACTATTAATGGAGTGTTTTCGGCTAAAGACATAATGATTGAAATGTTAGGTTTATATATATATATATATATATATATATATATATATATATGTGAATACGTGAAGTCGTTCGTCTATACGGAAAACAAGAAGACGGACGAGGAGACTGATGGGTCCCATGCAAATACATAATATAAAAACGTATAGGAGAATAAAAAAAGATAAAATAAAACATAAAAAATAAAGGGGTAGCCCACCACCACTATCGATCTACTTTGCCGGGTAAGTCTCGTTTTTATGATTAGAAAATCCCACTAGGCAAAGGCCAAACCATCATTCCAACCCGAAACTATATTTTATTTGAATTATAAATATTTACCAAAAAACAAAATGTTAGAAGGAAAAGGTTATAAAGCCAATAAAAAAGCTGGAAAACAACATACCGAATCAACCCTATCCTCAACCCCAACCATCTGGTCTCTAAAATGAACGATCGACACCATTCATCATCCACATCCAAAATGTTTTGAATTTTCACATAAGAAACTGTTATGTGTTTGCTATAAAATCCGGTTGCAATTTAGATTTGAAATTGAGGATTGTTTATGTGTTATTAACATATAATAATATAAAAATAATTCATGGAAAATATTTTGTAAATGATTGGTGTTGGGATGAAATAAAAGGAATCCGGTTTCAGCGTCAGCTTCCACCACCCGAGGTACACGTCAAGGACAAACGGATATTCCATCATTTCTTCTATCACCTACGTCCCCATTTCCACGTTCTTTCTTCTTCTTATTTTTTTTTTTAATCTTATAAATTTATCATTTCTATCATTCTTTCTTAATTCCAATTCACCATGATATATATTAAATAATTCATCCACTAATCTTTTATGTCATTAGTATTCCGGGATTCAATCAATTAAATATCTGTAAACAAAAATTATTAAAAATCTTTAAGAGAACAAAAAACATGGCAGTAAGATTCCAACCAAATCCCACTTTCATTAATTTATAGCGATTAAGTTGAAATATCATTTTCAATTTCCTAAACCCTTATTTTATGATGCACATATATATCTGCTTATGTGTGTGCATGCATGCTTGTATATATAGTGGAACGTCTAATTCTATGACTGATTGTATAAAACTAAGAGCATAGTCCACAGGTTTGGATCGCTCATGTGTTTGATTCAATTAATAAAGGATTGAATATATATATATACATATATTGATTACAAATGAGTCAATTTGAATAATAAACGCAGCATCAAATATAGTATCTCGCTTGAGCACCGGTTTACCAATAAATTATAATTACGTATGAATTTAATGGAATCTAATTCCGTGAGGATAATCTAATCAATCACTTCGGAATCTAGTTTTCTATAAATAAAAATTAATTGCAGTAATTATATCCTGATTAAGTTTAATATAAAACTATATATTTTTCTCTTTTCCCGCAATCATCCTATCCAAGTGGGATTCGCACCGTTTTTTGTAATAAAAATATTTAATATAGTATATACTATATAGACTTATTTTAAAGTTTGTGATGATTATTAAACAAAGCATAATTGCATTCTTTCTTTTTCTTTTGAGGCTCTTCTCTGCTCTCTATTTCCCAAACACATCCGATTCAACTTGTAATTGCTCCAATGCGTTAATTTCAATATTTCTTTAAGAAAAAATTATTAATATTATGTGTGTATATATAACATGCACGTACAAAGCCCTTTTCACACAAATTATGGAAATCTCTGGTGTAAATAGATATACACATGTATTACGTAAATATTAACGTCTTTTTTGCTTCACTTACAATATGATGCGAAGGAACTTGTGAATAATTAAATAATCAATGGAATATATATATCTATGTATGCAATATGACTATATATTAAAAGAAAACACATGAAAGATGATAAAAGGATGATATTGTTGTGTAGAGATACCTATTAGATGAGACATAGTCGCATTTCCTAATAATTGAGATTTCAATCTATATGTTGGGCAAAATAATTTCGGCCCCCACATATTATATGGCGCTACATCATTACTGCCCATTTTTGTCCACTTGCATTTGGCTACTAACACAATTTTGTGGGAGTTTAGTTAACAAATATATATATATATATATATATATATATATATATATTCGGATCATATTTCAATCGTATTAGGGTTAACATGATATTCTGCCCAAAAAATCAACATCGGATCAATACCAAAATCATGTAGGTATCTTAGTTATAAATAACTGAATTATTTTTTGCGATGTAGAAGACATTTTTGGAAATATAAATTTAGATTCAAGATTGAAATGTTTAAAATAATTAGTGTCGGGGGTTGATAAGAGATGGCTGCGAACATTAGAATATTGAGGAATGATATTTGAATGATGGACATAGGTAATTAATTATTCATATGATATGAGGAAAATAATTTTGATGAAAACTTCTTTTTGGTGAAGCTTTCAAAGAGATTACAAGATGAACAAGGAACCGAAAAGAGGGAAAGTAGAAAAAACAAAGGGAAAAGGTGAAGGTGAAGTAAAGCTAACCTATATAAATGCATATATATGTGTATATATATATATATATCGAATGAACTACTATAGCTTTTTTGCTTTTCGCTTTTTGTTTGTCTGACATTTTAAAATAATAAGTTTTTGTTGCATGTCAATTATGCCTTTGCTTAAAATTGTCTACGAGTTTTTGTATAGCGTGAAGAAATTGAAAGCGCGTAATAGGGAATTCCGTGATTGAAATCTTAGCCTCTTTTGGCCCCTTTCTCGTTTTTAACATTATATTCAAAAGTTATGTTACGAACAACAGATCATATGAGATAAAATAAAAGGAAAATCTATGGATAGGTTTGTGTACTCAATTATTAAAGCATACACTACAAAATATGAACAGACGACTATCCACAAACCTTTGATAAATGTTCGGTTTGATGCTCCATCTCTTAGTAATGTCTAAAGGATACACTTAGTGCATGCAAACACCTAAAAAGCGTATGATGGTCAAAGCATAAACATCCTGAATGAAGTCTATGTGTTATCCATAATTGGGGCTCAACCGGTAGGTAATAAAGCAAAGTTATTTCCAATTCGGGTTCAAATCTTTACTTGGGGAGGAGTATTCACATGGATTTCTATAGTCTTTTAGAAGATGTAGTCGGATCAAATATCCGGGGAACAGAGAAACTGTACATTTACCCTATATATATATATATATATATTAGC